TACTTAAAAATCTCCACAAAACCTTACTTACTTACGCCTGTTACCTCTCGTCGAGGAGCATATGTCGCTCACCAGTATTCTCCATCCAACTCTGTCCTGGGCAATCCTTTCCAGTTGTTATTTATTCTTTTCATATCTGCTTCTATTTCATGGTGTAATGTGTTCTTTAGCCTTCATCTTTTCCGCTTCCCTTCCGGATTCCACGTTATAACTCCGCTTGTAGCTATTTCTAGAGTTACTGCTGATCAAAAGCCTGAGTAAAGGAGGATGGTTGGACATGGGGTTAGCAACCCCATCCCATAGAAAGGCTAATTATTAAGGTTATCAGGATAGATTAATTTAGTGCTTGTGTATTATTTTTAAAAATTTGATATTTTAGAATCGAGCAACAGTAGACTGTTGCTAAGTTCTAGTTTTGATAGTCCTCAATGGTGTTCGCCTACATTAGTCTACATATTAATGTACTAATGAAGTAAATGAGAACTCAGGCGAGGATAACCAATTTATTGATTGGTGAATACAAACTTACAAAATGACTTCGAAAAATAAGAAAACCAAACACTAAATACTTCATTTTCACATCTTCCATCAATTGTCTCTTACGAACTTAATCATTCTTTCATTTCTATTGTGGTGTGGTCTACTTATATCTATATAAGTAGTATATGGTGTGGGTCAGACATTGAATGTATTTTGGCAGAAGACCGATGAGGAAAGAACTGAAATGAAGCGCAATCGTTTGGAAAATGCATGGGCAATGGAATTGGAGAAGAAACAGTAAAGATTGAAACAATTGATTGTTAATTTGCAAATTAACTGTTCATTGTTTGGTTATCAGAATTTATTGAAATAGTCTGTAATCTTTGATTAAATACATTCGATTGTCCCCAGTCGTGTTCTGTTCACAACATTTGGTGTCTCTGCTAACCAGGAGGAGGAAGGGTGCTGTTCTGCGGACGCCGCTGCGGATCTGGAGTTGAGGTGCTAGTTGGGCCAGTCTGGTGCGGAGAGGTGGCGTCGAGTGGAGTGTTCTGGCGGGCGGTGTTGGCTGTAGCGGGTGCTGTCGACGGAGAGGAGCAGTGGGACGTGCGGCTACTGGGTGGACATCGGATGTAGATGGCTCAGCAGGCCGGTGGAGTACGGGTGTTGAACGTCCCAGGTGCCGGGTGGATGCGGATGTTGGTGCCCCGGCAGGTCGACGGAGCTATGGAGGTCAGCGCGCCGCAGACTCGACATTCTGACGGAGAGTTTGGCACAGACTGCAGTGAAAGAAGATAGTGGTGTGGCGGGCAGAATCCACCGCATGAACGAATGCTTTAAAGGGGGGACGAGTGTGGTGTGGTCTACTTATGTCTATATAAGTAGTATGTGGTTTGGGTCAGACATAGAATGTATTTTGGCAGAAGACCGATGAGGAAAGAACTGAAATGAAGCGCAATCGTTTGGAAAATGCATGGGCAACGGAATTAGAGAAGAAACAGTAAAGATTGAAACAATTGATTGTTAATTTGCAAATTGACTGTTCATTGTTTGGTTATCAAAATTTACTGAGATAGTCTGTAATTTTTGCTTAAATACATTCGATTGTCCCCAGTCGTGTTTTGTTCACTACACTATTATTCCTACAATTACTTTGTGTTTACATCCTTGTTCTCTTTAATTCAATCTACTCAATCTTCTACTGGTAGGCATTCCGCTTCTAAGTGGTGTTACATACTACTTAAGTCAGTCGACATAAGTAGCATACACCTGTTATAAACGTATAACAATCGTTATTGTATATGAAACGTGCAATGATACAGAAAATACGTACGAGCAGTCTTGATTGCTATTCGGTCCTTCCTAACTGCCTAGCCCAGCCAGTTGAGTCCAGAACACAAATAACAGCCTCGGAAATATGAAATATTATTCACAAGCACATTGGGTTATATATACTTACCAAACAGACCCAATTATACCAAAAAATAGAAAAATAACATTTGTACAGTAATTGGCCAATGTGGCTATGGATAGGGGGAAAGTAATCAATAATAATAGTTCAAAGGTCAAAATAAGGTTACGGTAAGAGGAACACGAATACAATTAGGTCAGTTATTTAACAACTAAACAATAGGAATTAGGCATATTACCTTTGTCCATAATAGACCTCAGATTTACCATTCATGATTCACCAGGGGATATAACACCTCCCCTTTTTGAGAAATCCGGAGTTGATAACCGGATTTTAAATTTCTCGAATCCACCCTCCCCCACGAAAGACTGTTGGATCCTCATATAGCCAAGTTACTATTAATGCGATATGTTTGTCACATTTAACAGGGCATGCATTAGAACTGACGAGATCATGAGGATCGATGACATTTGATTCGAGGTCACCAACATTTGATTCTTCTGAAATAGTTTCCTTGAATTTCCTCGGAACCTCATTAGTAGATAATGAATCATTAGGATAATCAGTATCTATGAGAGTTGTATTGGATTCTTGATTATCATTTAATACATTCGATATTTTTCTCACATTTTTATAAGAGATTTGAACAGGAACATATGAATCAGCGAAATAATCGGGATCTGGCAGAACAATTAGATAATTTTTATCATTAGATTCATTAGAAAAATTTTCCGTATCATGAATAATTTCATTTGGCGCCTCTGCATTCAATATACTGCTCGATTTGCTTCCCATTTCTTCGCGGGCGGGTACTGCAGCAATTTCATGAGCATTTGACATGGCATCATGTTGCTGAGAGCTGGGAGCATCACTGTTCGGACCTGCTAATTCAGGGATAGTGGTGTTTGAATCCACTACCGGGCACGTTTCTGAAATGGATAGTGCTGGACAACCGGGCGTCTCTTGAGAGACTGCTGTTTCGTTTGAGTTGCGGCTGGTCGAGGATTCATGGAGGCTGTGATCATTTTCCAGTTCTGCGTGAAATTCAGTGATTAATCCATCCACTTCCGACGCATATGCAAAGCATTGGTGATCCAGAAGCTGTGTGCGTAGTTTGACCATGAACTCCAAATGTCGGTCAAATAGCAACTGTATTCGGTCAGAAGGGAGCGTCATTTTTCACTTTTTTTTGTCCCCGTCGCCAATTGTTATAAAGGTATAAGAATCGTTATTGTATATGAAACGTGCAATGATACAGAAAATACGTACGAGCAGTCTTGATTGCTATTCGGTCCTTCCTAACTGCCTAGCCCAGCCAGTTGAGTCCAGAACACAAATAACAGCCTCGGAAATATGAAATATTATTCACAAGCACATTGGGTTATATATACTTACCAAACAGACCCAATTATACCAAAAAATAGAAAAATAACATTTGTACAGTAATTGGCCAATGTGGCTATGGATAGGGGGAAAGTAATCAATAATAATAGTTCAAAGGTCAAAATAAGGTTACGGTAAGAGGAACACGAATACAATTAGGTCAGTTATTTAACAACTAAACAATAGGAATTAGGCATATTACCTTTGTCCATAATAGACCTCAGATTTACCATTCATGATTCACCAGGGGATATAACAACACCGCACTTTGGGTGAAACAGTAACTAATCAATGATATGCTAATTCACAAATTATTCATTTTGCTGTAATCAATATAATATTTATCTAGTCGTTAATGATGATAGAATCCTTACAATTAAGTTTCAGTATCCAACTTTTAGTCTAAGCTACTTAGGATCGGGTGATCTTGTTTGAATGTTATGCATTCCTGTCGTTATTACAATTACTTTGTGTTTACATTCCTGTTCTCTTTAATTCGATCTACTCAACCTTCTACTATCAGTTATTCTACATTTAATTGGCGTTACATACTATTGAAGTCTGTCGATATAAGTAGCACATGTAACAACCGTACTTAAAGAATGTATGAATTGAATTAAAATATTATCTGAATGGATTTGTGAGATTGTAATAAATATAATAGTTGAATTCATAAGTCAATGTAAGCTAGACCAAAATGGAAAACCTGGAGGCACTAGATGGCTGTTTTGTTTCAGTATGAAACTCCTCAACAGTGCACACCAACGATCCTTCACAAGGGATTCAAACTCAAGCCCTTACGTCTCGTGTGCGATCACTTAACTTTCAAACTGCTGAACTGGCATCTAAAGATGTTATTATCTAACCTCCATGGATTAATTAATGTCTACCTAACCATTCACCTAGAGTTTAAGCGTTGGAACGCAAAATCAAAGGTTCTTTGTTCGAATCCTCATTCCAAGATCACGGACACTCACTACTAAAGAATTGCATACTATAATGAAACACTCATCCAATACTTTCAGGTTTTTCAATGATTGTCAACCTTTACATTAACACATCAACTCGTTCACAAAACAATACATTATCATTACAATCAATACAGTATACTTTACTTGACACATTTATTGATTAATTATACCTTCACTATGTCTCTCTCATATAATATATTACATGTGTACTATTTATATTACTTATATTATAATCTATACTACTAACATACTTTATTCTAGAAAAGAAAAATGTAAATGATGACATAATCATGAAATTTTTTTTGTTTTTTTTTTAAATAAAAAAACAAAAATCAAATTGATGGCGAATTAGCCAATCAGATTTCAGAGATTTTTTTATTTTTTTCTTAAAAAAAAGAAAAAAAAAATTATTCAATACTCAATTTATGTCAAATTACTATGGTATATAGACGAATTAAATGAATGTAATTGTGTGCCATTAAAAAAAAATCAATAGTTGTGCATGTTTGTGAATACATATGTGTGTAAGTGTGTATGTGTGTGCGTATTCGTGTATTTACTATTATAAATGGAATATAAAAGACTAATAACACAATCTAATTGATTCTTAACTTTTTTCTTTCCTGTTATTATTTCATTGTTAATTTTTATAGATCACTTAACTTTGCATAGCAACTCATTCATTATAGATTAAAATTTGAACAGTCACTTGTTTCTTTATTTTAATAATTCATTCCTATTATACAATCAATCCAATGGATAATAATAGTTCAATGATGCAACAACGTAGATCATCGGTAAGTTTTGGAATGACTAACTTTTTGTGTGTGGAGATTTCAGTATTTTCACAGTTGAAAGCGTCAGTTGATTAAAGCTAGATCATCATGGAAAATCTGGAAACATTGGACGGTCGTTTCGTCCTATTATGGGACTCCTCAGAAGTGCGCATTCATGATCTCGCCTCACGAGGTTCAAATCCAAGACCTACCAAACTCGCGCCAGAGCACTTAACCGATAGACCACTAAGCCGGTGGGCACTCGATGATGTTAATGTCTAACTTTGAATCTCGTGAGGAGTGATTGTGGATGCGCACTGCTGAGGAGTCTCACAATAGGACGAAACGGTCGTCCAGTGCTTCCAGGTTTTTTTTGCAAACTTTTTTCCTTCTTTTCCTTTTTTCTTTTTTTCATCATGACCTTTATATTTTCAATATTTTTGTCACTTTTTTTTGTTGTTGCATAGATTAAACTTTATACTGAATTTTCACAAAATTATCCAGCAGTTTATAATTTACCAATACAAATTGATAATAGTTCACATTCAACTAGATCAATTATTATTCCTTCAATGATTACACAATCAACGGTAAGTAAAAAAAAATTGAAAAAAAATCATTTTCGAACATTTTTCACATGTATATATATATATATATATATATATATATATATATATATATCAGAAGGGGGGTTTTGTGGAGATCTGGAAGCACTGGAAGGGCCGTTTCATCCTATTATAGGACATCTCAGTAGTGAGCATCCATGATACCTCATGATTTTAACTATAAAATTACTAAGATCTCCACAAAACTACCCCTTCTGATAATAATCAACATATGTTCACTAGTGACTGGCTCCATGAGATATTTCCTGGAGTTTTAGTGAGAAACAGTGATCAGTGAAGTTCAACCAAGTCTGTTGACAGATAGTAACTCACTGAAGACGATAGTGAACAGTTGCTCGATTTCGTGTATTGGTTGAAGTTAGACAATAACACCGTGGATGTCGGCTCAGTGGTCTAGTGGTTAAGCGTTCTGACGCGAGACTGGTAGATCCTGAGTTCGAGTTTTCGTGAGCGTGCTCTGCTGAGGAGTACCACAATAGGACGAGACGGCTATCCAGCGCTCCCACGTTTTCCATAGTAGTCCAGCTTCATTTGACTCATGATTTCAACTACAAAAAATATACATATATTCATATAAAGTTTCTAATCATCATTTATTTAATAAATGTTATTGATTATAATGGTTTAATAGTAATAGGAATTAGGGTTGAATCCAATAAATGTCTCAATGTTAGTTTAGATATTATTCCTATTTTTGCTCATAAAATATTGAAGGTATATCAGTTGTATCGTTCACCTTGTAAGATTTTAAGGTTGTATTGTAATGAACAAGAACACAAGTGGGAACAATCGGATGTATTTGAATACAAAATTACAGAATGCCTTAGTAAAATCTGAGATTCATACAGTAACTACTTCATCTGTAAAATGTCGATCAACTGTCTAAAACTGGATTGTCACTTCGTTTCCACATTAATCATTCTCTGTTCTCGTTCTCTATTCTTTGATCTTCCTAACCTTCTGCCGTCAGGTGTTCCGCATTTGGTTGGCATCATATACTACTTATATGTGTCGAAATCAGTAGTACATACCACAGTATGCGAGGAAATTAATAGCCGATTATGATAGAATTCATGTAAAAAATATATCATCTTATAAAAGAAAATGTCTATGGGTAAAAATGAATTACAGTTAATCACTGTTTCCATACATATTTAGTTAAATATTCCCCAAGTTAAATGTATAAAAAAATGAAAGTAAACTCTAACAACATTGAAATATAACTGTTAATCACTTCATCCAACATAAAGGACTTATCAATATAGGGTTGAGGAGTATATTGAGTTTTGAGCGAGATCATGAATTGGTCAGTATTGGAGCACCATTGGAAACCTGAAATCATCGGATGACCGTTTCGTCCAATTGTGGGACTCCTCACAAGTGCGCATCCATGATCCCGCCATGCGAGTTTCGAACCCAGGACCTATTGGTCTCGCGCGCGAACGCTTAACTTCTAGACCATTGAGTTGGCATCCAACGGTGTTAATTTCTAACTTTAACCAATCCGTAACATTGCGCGACCATCTTCCATTTTCTTAGGTAGTTAACTGCCTCACATCCGACACAGATTAGCTTAACTGGTCACAGCTTCTCACTGAAACTTCAAGAATTACCTCTCGAAACCAGTCAGATAAATAAAGTATTCACCTGGCATTTGAAGTTCCGACGAATTCGCCAATTTGTACAGGCCTATTAAGTCAGTTAAAGGTAACATAAGAAACTTATATAAGCCCATCGAGCCACCTTATCATAATACATCCGCCTAGTACGATAAAATTAACGAGATAAATAACAAAGCCGTTTTAGTAGTATCAAAGAAGAACACATGTGGTTACAGAATATGATTCGTCAAGGATGAATTTGTGAAACCTAGGAACTTAAAATTTTAGAGAAGACAAAGAGTGAATGAGCCTGTGTTATTTTGATCAATGTTCAGCTATTTCACATAAATATTTACGATAGTCAAATGGACTCCAACCCAGTGGTTTGGCTTATTCTAATAGTCAATAACTTTATGAACTGATATCATTTCTTGGTTTCATCACCGTTAGTTTCCTTGAAACCTACCTGTACGTCAGCCAACATCAGCTATCGAGGTCAATGATGGTTTACCATCAATAATACATTTTTAAACCCCCAAGGCATTAAATATTCATAATCTTATCATCAGATTTCTTATAGTTACCTAGTGTTCAGCGTCCTACTTTAGCACAATCCTATCAAATACATGACAACTATTGTAAATTGATAGATTGATTGGTTTAATAATAATCAATCTATTCAGTATCATATATATATATTCGATTACTGGTAAGAATTCTCAACGAAAAATATTATGTACATTGCGACAACTACTCATAGTCAACAACAACAAAAACATACACAAAGGCATTGTAAGCAAAGATGGTTAGTGGCTAACAGTGGAGTCCAGAACGCGCATTTCGTCCTATTTGGGACTACTTAGCTGAATGTACCTGCATACCAGAGTTGATGTCCACTCTGTGACTCGAATCCAGTACCTTTCGCTTCAAACTACATCACGTAATCCATTTAGCTACTGAGTCCTGATCGCCACTTGCTTGTGAGATGGGATGAGGTTTGAATTCACTTAGTATTGTTTGTTTGAATCTTCCTATTGATGTTTAGGACTTCAGTTGATCAGTCTCTTATTGGCATATGTGTATCCTGTGTGGAGTGCACCAATACTGTCTTAATTCATAAGCGTTATAAGCAAAGATGGGTAGTGGTTAGTAGTGGAATCCAGTTTGACACACGTTTCGTCCTATTTGGGACTCGTCAGCTGGATGTACCTGCATCTCAGAGTTGATGTTCACTCTGGGATTCGAAGCCAGTACCTTTCGCTTCGAACGTCATCGCGTTATCCACTCAGCTACTAAGTCCTAACAGTTTTTTCAGCATTGATTAACTTCAATGAATTGTTATTCTAAAAAATTGTCGACTAGTTTTAGATCTATAATATCTTTTCTACATCTCATAATACCTTCCACTATAATCATCTTTTATTCCTCCAGAGAATAGATAAAACGGATCTGTTTGAAAGTTTGATTAAATCGTTAGTAAAAACTTATATAATTGGTCAATACTAGTTAGTATGTAACATATATCTATTATGATGTCGGTGGTCAAGATTGTATTTATTCATATTTATTTAAACACACAAACATTGATACTAGGACGCACTAAATATATATGCACCACACCGAAGAGTTGATTTGTGTGATGAGTGGGATTCTGTCTGAGCGCCCATGCCGAAGCAAATGGTTTTCTTAGCGGGGGGGCACTCCTCGAGCTTTTGACCTAAGGGTCGAGTCCATAAGGCAGTGGAATAACGTAAGGAGATGTAGTCCCATAGTGGCCCGTGACCAACAATAGATTTATACGCCATATGTTCCCTCAGGATAGTGGAGCTCATGTTTACCATTGGTTTGGAATGAGGGCTTTCCAACCCCCCCCCTAGATGAACCCTCCGTGTCCATCAACCGGGTTAAAGCGCAAGACATTCGGTTTCCATTCTTTCAATTTTTTAAAGAACACCATTATGTGACTTCCCTTACAGTGGCTATATACGCGTGGCCATATGTGAGCATTTAAAAAAAGAGAGAGGACTTTCCCAGACCTTAACCATATCGGGAAATCTGGGGGTATAAGATTGATAATAAAATATTTTCATAGTTTAAATCACGAGATAATCTTAACCGTGCAATCATTGAAAACCTGGGACCATTAAATAACTATTTCGTCCTAGTATTGAACTCTTCAAAAGTTGGAATCCATGACTCCACTAATAGTTATTAAACCTAAGACCTTCAATATCACACTTGGACGTCTAACTTCTAGGTCACTATATGGGCATCTAATGGTGTTTATATTCAACTATAATGAATTACTTGGTGTTCTATAGGTTAAATGTTCATTCATGAAACTGAAGATGTTAGGTTCAGTTTTTGACTGAATGGCCATGGAAAAGCACTAGGACAAAAAAGGCTGTTTGGTGCTTTCAGGTATTCATCAATGATCTAACTTAGGTCATTTAGTGATTTAAAATATGAAAACTATTCAATCTTCACAAGTTTTCTTATTATTAATCATCAAATATTTCCATCATGAGCATAAATCTATCAACATATGAAAAGACTTAACTTTTTTTATCACTATAGAAACCAGAAGAAGTTTTAAATGTTTTAAACTTGTAAAATAATATCCCTGGATTTTCTTTTTTTTTTGGTTAATTAAAACCACAAGTAATCATGAAAAAAGGTAAACAATGGAATTGACATTATCATAACATTGATTGTAAATGTTGGCAATCATTGAATATTGAGCTTGGATCGCATACACACACACACATATATAAAGACACTTTTTAATGTTAATCAATTCAGAACTATAAGATAGATTAGAAGAAACAATAGTTAGATTTTTTAATACATCATAAGAATGTATTTGTGTAGAGAATACAGTATGATAAGTAGAACTTGTGGTTTGAAGATGTAGTTCCTGAAGTCCTATGTTGTTTCCTTTCTAGTTATCTATAAAGCGAATCAACTGGATATTCAGATACTACTTCCAATAATAGATTATAAGGGTCGATTATTCGGTGGTGGTAAACTTGTGTGGTGGAATATTACTTACTACCCCTCGTGTAGGAGCATAGGCCGCACACCGGAATTCTCCATCCAACTCTGTCCTGGACAATCCTTTCCAGTTCTTTCCGGTTAACATTCATCCTTGTTATTTCTGCTTGTATTTCTCGGAGTAATATGTTCTTCGGCCTTCCTCTTCTACGCTTCACCTCAGGATTCCAAGTTAGGGCTTGCCTCGCGATACAGTTTGATGATTTCTGAAACGTATGTCCTATCCACTTCCAACTTCTTTTCCTAATTTCCTATTCAGCTGGAAGCTAGTTTGTCGTCTCCCACAGAATAGAAGTTAAGATGGTGGTTGGAGGTGGTCAACAGGAAATCCTGGGCCCGGGTTTCGCGCTACTTGTCACTAGTCAGCAAGGTTTACCTGTAATCTTGAGGGGACTAATGTTCCCTGACGGATTCAGTCTTATATCACCCAGGTTCACAATCAGAGACATCACTACTGTGCTATCTGGGTCACGACAGACCTCCTGTAGGACTAGATGTATTTACAATTGATTGATTACTGGGTGGTGATCAATGTCATGTATGTCACATCCTTCTTACCGCTGATCGAATGCTATCGATCAAGTGAAGTCTTGTAATCTTGAGAACACTACCTATATGCTTTTCAAACTGCTTATAATGGATTCCACAAATAAATTAAGCATTTCATCATCCTTTATGGTAGTCTATTTTTTTAAACAGTTTGGTTTACAATAGTTTTCTGTCAACACCTTGTGACTACATACATTTTTCTTATTATAAACAATAACAATAATAATCAGAAGGGGGTTTTGTGGAGATTCTAGTAATTCAATAGTTGAATTAAAGCTAGATCACCATGGAAAATCTGGAAGCACTGACTGGTTATTTCGTCCTACTATGAGACTCCTCAGCAGTGTGCATGCCAAACTGAAGGTCCTAGGTTCGAATCCCACGAGCGTGGTCATAGATGCGCACTACTGAAGACTGTTTTAGGTATCTAATTAATGTTTTTGTCAAAAAAGAACTGTCAATAAATTATATTTTCATCATGTTTTACAATGTAATTATTAGGTCTAGAAGGATAGATGAGTGAATGATTAAATGTCATTTGATCTTGTCACTAGGTAAACAACAAAACTTTTTTCAAAAAATTAATTGGTTACATGAGCCATAAGAAAATTGAAGTTTTTTTGGAAATTTTTACTCAGTAAAATTGTAATTTACAGATTGTAACAACTTCATATCAACAATGATGAATACTAAAAAGGGTTTTTGTGGAGATTTTGGTAATTTTATATAGCTAAGATCATGAGTCAATTGAAGCTAGTCCACCATGGATTGGTTGAAGTAAGACATTAACACCGTTGGATGCCTGACAGCTCAGTGGTCTATCGATTACGTGCTCTAGCGCGAGACTGGTAGGTCCTAGGTTCAAATTCCGCGAGTGCGGGATCGTGGATGCGCACTGCTGAAGAGTCCCATAATGGGATGAAACGGCCGTCCAGTGCTTCCAGGTTTTCGATGGTGGACTAGCTTCAATTGACTCATGATTTCAACTATGAAAATATATATATATATATGCTTGTATTACAGTATTGTTAAGTTTCACGCTGAAATGAACCTATTGCTTTTATTGTTTCACGCATCCAACCCTTTTACTAAGTGAGCTATTGAGTCCAGATAACAGATTTGCATACCAAAAAACGGTGAATTACAAATACCTTACTAATAATTCACTTCGCTGGATTAAAATTATTATTATTATAAGCAAAGATGGATAGTGGCTAGCAGTGGAATCCAGGACGCCCGTTTCATCCTATTTGGCACTCGTCAGCCGGGTGAACCTGTATAGCAGAGTTCATGTTCACTCCAGGATTAGAACCCAGTACTGTTCGCTTCAAACGCCATCGTGTTATCTAATTAGCTACTGAGTCCTGATAGCCAAATAGAACGAAACGCGTGTCAAAGTGGATTCTACTGTTAGCCACTATCCATCTTTGCTTAGAATGCTTGTAAATAAAGGCAATATCGAGACAATACGCACAGTATGCACATATGGCCAATAAGAGACTGACCAATTGCAGTCCTAAACATCAATGGGAAGATTCAACCAAGACAATACCAAGTGAATTTATCATAATTTTTATTTCTATTATAGGGGATTCAAACTATGGATACAGCACCTGAAGTTAGTGTACAAGTGGATTTATTAACACAACAATCAGAATTTACTCAAACCGATTTAGAATATGATAATAATAATAATTCATCAACCACTACATTAGATACTACAGTTGAATCTTCTGGTCATTTAGACAATTCTAATGATTCATTAAGTAAGTTCAATGATTAAAACAAACTATTTAAGAATATTACACCATCACCTTCATCATCATCATCATCATCATCATCATCTCTTTATGTGATGAGTTTATCTTCTCGTTATTGTTGATATTCAAGATTGTAATTTTGTTCAGTTTTTATTAGTTGATAGGTTCTTTTAAAAGAACCTAAAAGAATCTATTCTGATGCAGAAGTGAAGATGTGGATCGGAAAAGAAAGAACAGTATATTTACAATTGAAGAACATCTGGAACTCAAAACAATGGTCAACTAACAGCAAAGTCAAAATTTTTAATATAAATGTCAAGATAGTTTTATTGTATGGGGCGGAGACGTGGAGAACTACGAAAACCATCATCCAGAAGATACAAGTGTTTATTAACAGTTGCCTACGCAAAATAATTCCGATCCGTTGGCCTGACACTATCAACAACAACCTACTGTAGTAGAGAACAAACCATATTCCAGCGGTTGAAGAAATCAGGAAGAATCGCTGGAACTGGATAGGACACACATTGAGGAAATTACCCAACTGTGTGACAAGGTAAGCTCTCACATGGAATCCTGAAGGCCAAAGGAGAGGATGAAGACTAAAGAACACATTATGCCGAGAAATGGAGACAGATATGAGAAGAATGAACTACAATTGGGTCGAACTGGAAAGGAAGGCTAAGGACAGAGTGAGTTAAGAGAATGCTGGTCGTTTCCTATGCTCCATTGGGAGAAACAGGCGTAATTAAATAAATAAGTAAGTAAGTAAGTGAAAGAACCTGGTGTTGTTTACGAACTTTTGAGGACGAAAAGCGAATATCCTGCACTTTAACCGGGTTGGTGGATGTGGAGTGTCCATCTAGGGGAGTTGGAAAACCCTGATTCCAAACCAATGATGCACATGGGCTCCAGGATCGTGAGGGAACAAATGGCGCATGAATCAACCGTTGTTCACCGGCTACCATGGGACTGCATCCCCTCACGATGCTCCACTGCCTTGTGGATTAGACTTTTAGGTCGAAGGCTGGAGGTGTAGCTACCTAAGAAAACCACCTGCTTCGGTCTGGGCACCTGGGCAGTATCACAGTCCTCACACGAATCAAATGAGATTTATGTGGTGCATATATATCTGATGTCTCTTTGTACAAATATTTGTGTTCAAATAAATAAATAAATAAATAAATAAAAAGGTTCTTCTAGGGAATGTTTGGATATGTATTCTCAGTAGTTACAAGTCAAATTATCCTATTTTGAGATTCTGACTAACAGTGAAATCCAAGAAGAGTGTTTCTTCTTTTTAGCTGTATGAAACAGAATCTCCGTTTGAATGTTCACAATGAGACTTGAATAGAAATCATTTCGCATTTGCTGCATAGTTTACCTATAAGTTGTGAGTATCGCCTAAATGTTAAGGCTTTTAAATATTGATCAGTGAGTTGAGATTTCGAACTCAGCTCTATCTCTTCACTTTGAACAGTCATGTAATACCATTAACCCTAATCATTATCCAAAATTGAGTCTTTAGACTCTTACTCTGTATTGAGAAATAACAACAATATTTGAATATACTTCTATGTCACACATATCTCAAGTTATCAATGTGATTGTATCCTAGTTCGATTCCAACAAATTTCTTTCTACATCACTTAGTTACTTTAATTGACATACTTTACATATACCCTAGTTAGTATTTTTTTGCAAGTTGGTTTTCTACGGGATAGGGTCGCTAGCCCCATGCTCAATCCTCTTCCTTTACCCGAGCTTGGGACCGGCAGTAGCCCCAGGAGGAGCTACAAACGGAGTTTTTTTTACATATACCCACATAGATACAAATAAGGTAAAATCCAATGTTAGTCTAATCACTGTTCCTAAGCTTTTCTTAATATAATGAGAAACAAGTTCTTTTACCATGCTTGTGAAGTAAGGCTATATCGATGCAATACGCACAGTATGCACATATGCCAATTAGAGACTGACCAGTTGCAGTCCTAACACATCGATGGGAAGATTCAACCAGAACAATACTAAATGAATTTAAACTTCACCCCATTGCACAAGCAAGTGACTATCAGGACTCCATTGCCGAGTGGATAACGCGATGGCGTTTGAAGCGAGAGTACTGGGTTCGAGTCCCAGAGTGAATATCAACTCCGAGATGCAGGTACATCCAGCTGACGAGTCCCAAAAAGGACGGAACGCGTGTCGAACTGGATTCCACTGCTAGCCACTATCCATCTCTGCTTACCAAGTTCTTTTATGTTCAAAAATGTTTCCTTTTTTTCTTTAAAAAAAAACAAAAACAAAACTAGCACTAAATCATTTGTTTTAATTTCTCAAGGTCACACAATTTGAATATAAATTAATATAGAAAATTCAAAAAATCTAATTTATACTGTCTAATTCTATTGTTTCAAACTGACAATTTTGGTAAATGTAAATCTATCGATCTTAAGTGTAAATCAATAATACCTATATGTATAGGGTACAGCTGAGGGTGTGAGGAGTCAGCTCTCCTTCACGAAATGCTCTCGACGAAGGAGTGTCGTTTATTAAATTGAGAGGACGAAAAGCGAATGTCTGACGCTTTAACCAGGTTGGTGGATATGGAGGATTTACGTGGGAGAGTTGGAAAACCCTCATTCCAAACCAATGGTCTACATGAACTCCACGATCCTGAGGGAAAAAAATGTCGTATGAACCAATTATTGGTCACGGGTTACCATGGGACTACATCTCCTAACGTTGCTTCACTGACTTATGGATCAGACCTTTAGATTGAAGGCTCTGAGTGTGGCTTCTCAAAGAAAACCACTTGTTTCGTTGGATAAACAATAAAGATTATATTAATATCTAACAGGAAATTATCAAGGATCTTTCATAAGATTCTTTGAAGTTATAGATTTATAAATTCATTATAGAATTTAATGTGAACATTTTTAACTTTCGTATTCAAACTAATTTTGTTTATGACTTGATATATAGATGAGTGAGAAGCCGTGACCAGTGAAGTTCAATCCGATCTGTTATGAGGAAGTAACTCACTGAAGAAAATGATGGACAAAGGAGCAATTTTGGTGGATTAGTTGAAGTTAGGAATTAACACTTTTGGATGCTGGCTCAATGGTCTAGAGGTTAAGCGTTCGCGCGCGTGAACGAACGTCCTGGGTTCGAACCCCACGAGCGAGATCGTGGATGCGCACTGTTGAAGAGTCTCATGCTAGGGCGAAATGGTCTACTAGTGTTTCTAGGTTTTCTATGGTGATCTAACTTCAATTGGCTCTTGAATTCAACCATTAAATTTGTAAAATCTCCACAAAACTCTCTTCTGATAACATACTCAGCTGGATTATAGATAACTATAGAAAATCACCAAGAAGCTTTATTTGAGCTAAACGTTTGATACTAGTAAACTCATATAAACAAGGTAATATTTTGAGAGATCTGATGCGCCATTTATGATACCAACAACTTTGTACACAATGCTAAGTAGAGGTCCTTTAAAATTATCTTGAAACAATCATCACTTAATCTTTAATAGTTGAAATCATGAGTCAATGGAAGCTAGACTGCCATGGAAAACCTGGAAGTACTGGACGGCTGTTTCGCCCGCTTGTGGGACTCCTCAGCAGCGCGGATCCACAATCCTGCCTCGTGAGATTCTAATCCAGGATTTATCAGTCTCACGCGCGAACGCTTAACCAGTAGACCACTGAGCCGGCATCCGACAGTGTTAATGTTTGTCAGCGGGAAGATGAGTTTAGGGGTGAACATTTGATAGCAATTTCGTCTTAACATATGATTCATCAATAGTATGTGTTAAATCTTAAACCTCAAAGTCTTAAGAGTAATATGATATCTCCAAGTTATAAAGTTAATCAAGTCCTACTTTCCTTATTTTAAAACTTTTGACTAATTTACGAGATGATTCAAAGTGATTTATCTTGAAGAGAATTATGAATGGTTACTTTTGAGAACTACTTATAGACTAATATGATATGTATGTTTCTTATTCTACAATAGTTAAGTAACGACACTATTCATATTCGTGTCCCTCTTATTATAAGATTTATTTTGACCTTTAGACTATTATTATACGATTTACTATTCTTGAGTTATCCCCAGTCTATTAATTACTGTTCCCCCTATTCTCAGCCACCTTTAAGCTAAATCTTGTACAAATGTTATTTTCTATTTTGTAGTATGATGTGGTCTGTTTGTTTGATATATAAACCCGGTATGTTTGAGAATGTCAGGCGCTGTGACAGGGTTGGTGGACACGGAAAGTCCATCTAGGGAAGTTGGAAAACCCTGATTCCAAAACAATGGTGCACATGGTTTCCAGGATCATGAGGGGACAAAGGGCATATGAATCAATCGTTGGTCACCCGCTACCATGGGATTGCATCTCCTTACGATGTTCCACTACCTTGTGGATCAAACCATTAGGTCAAAGGCTCCGAGTGCGGCAGCCTAAGAAGACCACCTGCTTCAGTTTGGGCACCCGGGTAGTATCCCAGCCCTCAAACAAATCAAATAAGATTTGTGTGGTGCATATACATCTGGTGCTTCTTTGTATCAATATTTATGTGTTCAAATAAATAAATAAACCAGTATGTTTGAGAATAATGATTCATATTGCAGTGGCTATTATTGGTGTTCTCGACTTAACTGGCTGAGCTAGACAGAAATTAGAACCGAAAAGTACTCTAGACTGCTTATACGGGCTTTATGTGTTATTAGTCCGATCAATAATTCATTGCTCTCTAATAGGACGGTACAAGATATAACACAAAGATTATCTTGTTTGTTATTATAAACTTAACTAAGATCAGAATGTATAAGCTTTTACAATCGTTCGAAATAACTTTTTAACATTTGTTCATCTAAATGTTTACTAATTTACCAAGAATTACTTGAATATGTTGGACTTTGAAACTTGATTCAATTGTGTTAGAGCTAAGTAAAACGAAAGTAGTTGAAGTGAAGTTCAAATCAGTATCTTATTGGCTGATAAATGGGTATCAAAATCATCACTTTTCATTTGTTTATATTAGGGTAGTTTTAATAGTTGATCAATAGATAGAAGATAGAAGTTAAGAAACTACTGAAATACGTTACATCAATTCAAGGCTTATGGCAAGTGGTAACTAGTTATATGCCATCAACAAGTTGTTATATTTGAAGGAAACACGTTTTTGCAACTTGGCAATTGCTAGCGAGATATCTTAGCAATTTGCTTTCTGTGAGATTGGTACCAACATCACCCAATGTTATTGTCAGAGATTTTATTACTGAGTTATTTAAGCTTCAACTAACCTGCCTATATGCTTGATACTGATCATTGAGTGGTAAATAATATCATATCTGATTAGTTCATGTTAGGAAATTCTACAATCTTCAAATAACACATTATTACTGAATTAATCAGAATGTTAATGAAGTGATTGAATCATTTCTACGTAACGATGGCGTTTGGAGCGAAAGATACTGAGTTTGAGTCCCAGAGTGAACATCAACTGTGGGATACAAATACTTCCAGCTAACGAGTCCCAAATAGGACGAAACGCACAACCTGGATTTCACTACTAGACACCATTCATTTTTGCTTAGAATGCTTGTGAATTAAGGCAATACTCACAGTATCCGCATATGCCAATTAGAAACTGACCAGTTGCAGTCCTAAACATCAATGGGAATATTCAAACAAACAATACTAAGTGCATTTCTACGTAAGTTTAACCATATTTATCCACATACCCGAAATCTTAACATACAATTTTTCAAAAGAAATTTCACAAGTATTAAAACATTCAGTGAATCCATCTAACCACTCCATCAAATCCCTCCATACAATTCCTTGATCAACTTAAGAACATTCAAATCAGCAACGACAAGCTAATGATATTCTTCAATGTAACACAACCAAACCATCCAGTTCAAAGAACAAACCTCTATCAAAATCATTCATTTGAGTTACAAATCTTCTTCACCAACTCAACCAACCAATCAATTAAACAAACAAACCAAACTAAGATCTAATAACATTCTGACAAGTTTAATGTCGGGAGTGGGGTTCGAACCCACAACCACAGAATGGACTGCGACCTGAACGCAGTCACATATTTACTTGTATTTCAATAAATAATAGTCAATTTTTTCCTCATTTGCTTTCTTAAATATAAAAAAAATATCAGAAGAGGTTTTTGTGGAGATTTCATTAATTTTTTTAATAGTTGAAATCATGAGTCGATTGAAGCTAAACCACTTAGGAAAACCTGGAAGCATTGGACGGCCATTTCGTCCTATTATGGGACTCCTCAGCAGTGTGCACTCACGATCCCGCATTGCGAGATTCATGATTTCAATTATATAAAAAAATTACTGAAATCTCCACAAAACCACCCCTTTCTGATAATAATCATATGCTGACTAGTGACTGGCGTCAAGAGATATTTTCTGGATTTCAAGTGAGAAGCATTAACCAGTGGAGTTCAACCAGGTCTGTTGAGAAATATCAACTCACGGAACACAATTGGTGGACGGTTGCTCATTTTCGTGGATTGCTTGAATTTACACAATAACGTCGTTGGGTGCCGGCTCAGGGGTCTACTCGTTAAGCTCTAGTGCCCGGAACTGATAGGTCCTGGATCCGAATCTCACGAGGCGGGATCATGGATACGCAATGCTGAGGAGTCCCACAGGACTGGGTTCGAACCTCGTGGGGGATAGGCTCGCCGGTGCTCGTTGCTGAGAGGTCGCACAATAGGACGAGATGGCCGTCCAGTACTTCCAGGTTCTCCTTGATGGTCTAGCTTCAATTGACTCATGATCTCAACTATAAAACAATATATATAACTGTTCATTCGATATATTTTATTTCTTTAATTCATAGGTACACTACGTGTTTATTTATTAAATCAATTACCAATTAGTGTATTATTGGATGATACCAGTATTAAGAAATTACATAATTGTTCTATATGTATGGAAAATTATCATATTGGTGATCGTATTATGGGTTTACCATGTTTTCATATGTTTCATTATAATTGTTTATATGTATGGATTGAAAAGGTAATTTGTTTTTTTCTTTTTTTCAAAAATTGATTTATGTATGATATTAGTCATGGATTGATTTCAGTTAGAGTTCAAAGAGAATTGTTTGCTATATGCATGCATGTCCACCCCGTTATTGTTCTACCCGACCGTTACTGCTACCTTGAAGTAGTGGTTGGGTTTGCTTGTTGTGATAAACCAATCGAGCTATACTGGCTGGAACAATCGTTCCTCAAGTTCCTACCATACCAGACAGGTCGATTGAAAAGCCCTAGAAGAACCCTTCCATGGTGTGGGCAACCGGGAAGTGATAACTGTTATCATACCTCTAACAGCACTCAAGACCACTCTAACAGGATTGATTTCATTTAGAGTACCGTTGACAAACCCCGGAAGTATTCGAAAGTATCATCGCTCTGGTATGGAATTCCTCAATAGTTCACGCCAACTGATGTTCAGTTAATCGATCATGTAATATTGTAAACTAATCCCAATCCGGTGACCCTAATGGTTAAGGAATCATTGTGAGACATGATACATCTAGATTTGATTCCTGACAAGGTCTCAGATACTTGAAACTAAGGTGTCTTTATACATGAACAGAGAAGCTATTCCATATTGATTAGTTTTTAATGTTACTCCAACTACTATCGTTCAATGAGTAATTTCGTACAATCTCTTAAGTTTCTAGTACAAATGGAAATGTTTCACACTATGTGAACTACTTATATAAGAATAATGATGTTTATATATGGAATGTTTCTTATTCTACGTTGATTCTTTGGCTTTTTGATGGAGTTTTGTTCTCTGAGCTGAATGGTTTGGTTGTGATTCTCTGGATTCTACACATTTGAATGTTATATAAGTTGATCTTATGATTGCAGCTATCTACACTAAAGAAACACACAACATAAATAGTGATTTACTATTTAGTTAAAAGAACCCAGAAGTTTTAGTCATTTGACATCCCATACATATTACATCAGTAAGTCAAAGTCAGGTTAATTATTCAAGTATAATCACTCAAATCAGTCGGCTACAGTGTTGGATCAGGCACATATATGCATCGGTCTAAGTTGCCACACCTTATTAGCACAATAACATGAACACCAAATTCATAGAATTAGTTACTTCAATGGTAGTAATATATAAAAGAAAGATTGTGTATAAGGACATAACATAGGAAGAAAGAATTAGTTAGTAGAAAGAAAGGTATAAGGTAATTTTGATCTCAAGGTTCAGGGGGAGACAAAGAGTGAATACATCTACGTCACTGTGATCGATTCTGAGCCATGTCACCCATAGCCCCTAACCATTGGTTACGATAGTCGTGCGGACCCCAACCAAGTAGTCTGCATCTACCAACATGGCTTAGACCAGAAGTTAGTGATTTCATGAACTAATGCCACCTTTTTATTTGTCTGCCCCTAACTTTCTTCCAACTGTCTCTCCAACACTAGTCAGCATTGCACATCATGGTAATCGGTGTTCAGGTATACGTAACACGTGGCCTAACCATCTCAATCTATGAAGATTCAGAACCTCATCAACTGATTTATCGTCATTTCCAAATACCTTGTGTCTAACCTCACTATTACTTACCCAGTGATCCCATCAGGTGAGAGCTATATTTCAAAGACATCTGTGATCAAATTTAGTGACCAGGTTATGAAAAATATTATCAAATGTGAACATTATATGGAATCTGACTATCCTCTTACATCATTATTCTGTAATGATGATTAACTTTTTCTTGATAAGAAAATGTTTATAAACCAAACAATAGTAGCTTCTAAGAAGCATTTTCTAAGAAGCAATTGTTTTCTCTCCCTCTCTCACATATACATACATACACACCTAATTCCATCTTATCATCATTATCCATAAGTAAATACATATGTATGTGGGAAAATTTCCCTTATTCATACATAGTAAACAAATGTTTTTATGTATATTTTCTTTTCGAGATATCAACTAGATATACAATCTTTGTCCACCTTCCTTCTATTCAACTTTCATCAAGTATTCTATTTTCAGAAGGGGTTTTGTGGAGATTTTAGTATTTTTATAGAGTTGAGATCATGAGTCAATTGAAGCTAGACTACCATGGAAAACCTGGAAGCACTGGACGGCCGTTTCGTCCTATTATGGGACTCCTCAGCAGTGCGCATCCACGAACCCACTCTCGCGGGATTCGAACCCAGGACCTACCAGTTTCGAGCCGAAGCCCTTAACCGATAGACCACTGAGCTGGCATCCAACGGTGTTAATTTCTAACTTCAACTGATTCACGAAATTGAGCAACCATTCACCAATGTCATCAGTGAGTTCCTATCTCACAACAGACCTGGTTGAACTCCACCGGTTACTGCTTCTCACTAGAACTCCAGGAAATACCTCAAGGAGTCAGTCACTAGTGAGCACCTGATTATTATCAGAAGGGGTTTTGTGGAGATTTTAGTATTTTTATAGAGTTGAGATCATGAGTCAATTGAAGCTAGACTACCATGGAAAACCTGGAAGAGTTTATCAATAATATGTAAACATTTGTTAAGCAACATTTCAACTGATCCTCTTGTTACATTGATATCATTTTGTTGACATAACAATAAGCCCCCTTTTTAAAAAAAAGAAGAAACTCTAGCTGTTTTCGTAACTAAGATATAGAAGAGAGGTTGGGGGAAGAGTAGGGAAGGGAGAGAAATAAAAATAAATTTGTTTTGATGTTCTTTAGATAAATTTTTTTTACTTTCACAAATGAAAGGAAATTTGTCAATGTTAGTGATTATAATTATTGATGGTAATAATGATATAATCAATGTTTGCCTTAGTGATTAATAGTGTTATTTACATTAGGGATTTTTTTGTTGTGATTAGCATTATTTTTATATTCATTAAAAGAGTATTATGGAGATGGGTTTCAAGATAGTGGTTGGAGATGGTCAACAGGAAATCCTAGACCCGGATTTCGTGCTACTTGGCACTCGTCAGCAAGGCTTACCTGTAGTGTTGAGGGGACTGGTGCTCCCTGACGAATTCAATCCAGTGTCACTCAGCTTCACAGTCAGAGACGTTACTACTGAGCTATTCGTGCCGCGACCGACTTCCTTTAGGACTGAGATGTAATCACAATTGATTGATCACTGGGTGGTGATCAATATTATACGTGTTAAGTCCTTCTTAGTGCTGATCGAATGCTGTCGATCAAGTTGAGTGACATGGGATCGAATCTGTCAGGGAGCACCAGTTCCCTCAAGAAAACAGGTACATTTTGCTGACGAGTGCCAAGTAGCACGAAACCTGGGTCCACGGTTTCCTGTTGACCACCTCCAACCACCATGTTATCTCAACATAGTGCATGCAGTGTCGAGCCACATAGACTAGTGGCCAAATCGCAACTTAATCGATAGCATTCGGTCAGCACTAAGAACGACTTGATAAGTATGACATTGATCACCACCCAGTGACCAATCAATTGTATCTAGTAAACTATATATATACATATACTACTGATCTGATATTAGTAATTTCACTTTTCTTTTTGGTATTTTTTCTATGAATATCTAATTTTTTTTAAAAAAAAAAAAATTTGATCTTTTCTAGAATCTTCAATGTCCAATGTGTAGAATGCCAATTTATGAAATTGATTAAAAGGAATGAACTCTCCAACTATTTGAAAAGCAAAATAAAAAAGAAGAAAAAAACTTGTTGAATTTCATCATAACGGATAACTAAACGAACAAAAGAGAAAGAGATAAAAGAGAGAAAAAAATCAATAATTTTTTTTTAGTATCTGGGTGATATTGTGATATATGTTTTTTTTTCTTGAATAGTAATCATTATTCTATTGACTCTTTATTGATGTGTTTTTTTTTATTTGTATGTATGTTGTTGTTGTGTGTAGATGATTTATCATGTACATGTTGTAATAGTTCGAGTCCAGATACTTCTATATATGTACTTCTATATATGTATTCTTATAAGATGCTCATCTTTAAACAAAGATTATTTACTTATTTACTTATGCCTGTTATTCTCAATCGAGCATAGGTTACCGAACAGGATTTTCCAACTAACTCTATCCTAGGCCTTCCTTTCTAGTTCTAACCAATCTTTGTTCATTCTTCTCATGTCTGTCTACATTTCTCAGTATCATGTAATCTTTGGTCTTCTTCCTCTCCTTTGGCTTTGAGGATTCCATGTGAGAGCTCGCCTTGTGACACAGTTGGGTAATTTCCTCGATGTATGTTTTATCCACTTCAAGCGCTTCTTCCTGATTTCTTCCTCCGCTGGATGGACTCTAGTTTGTTCTCTTCCACAGTAGGTTATTTCTGATAGTGTCTGACCAACGGATCCGAAGTATTTTGCTTAGACAACTGTTAATAAACATCTGTATCTTCTGGATAATGGCTTTCGTAGTTCTTCAACTTTTCCGTTCCATACAGTAGAACTGTGTTGACATTTGTATTGAAAATTCTGACTTTGGTGTTAGTCGACAATTAATTTGAGTTCCAGATGTTCTTCAGTTGCTTTGCTGATCCGCGTCTTCACATCTGTATTAGAACAGGTTCTTTTAGGTTCTTTTAAAGGAACCTATAATAATAATAATGATAATACTAATAATCCAGTCTATATTTACGGCATCCTCTGAGCAAAATTATATGACCTCTAGAATTTTCGTAATTCCTTTCATTTAAATAAAGACATTATTTGTCCGGAATATTTGTGTAAGAAAATGCTTCATGCCTCAAATTGAAGACATTCTGTGGATACAGGCGCATCCAAATTGAAGAGTATACCTAATGCACCACGTTAGATGCAGTAGTGCCTGAAATTAGTAGAGGCATGAGGGATTTAAATTCTAATTCCGTTGCTTTCCGTCTCCATGAACACTTATGATAAACTAATGCATTACATTAGCGTTAGCGTTTTTTAGCTAGTTGGTTTTCTACGGGATGGGGTCGCTAAACCCGTGCCCAAACCTTCCCCTTTATCCGGGCTTGGGACCTGCAGTAGCCCCCGGAGGAGCTACAGGGGGAGGTTTCTTCGACACTATGGCGTGCCTGAGAAGATAGTCAATATCATACGGAATTCCTATGATGGATTAAACTGCAAAATCATCCGTGGAGGACAACTCACCGATTCATTCGAGGTAAAGGCCGGTGTTAGGCAAGGTTGCTTACTCTCACCCTTTCTCTTCCTCCTGGTGATCGACTGGATCATGAAGACGTCAACAGCTGGAGGGAAGCACGGGGTACAGTGGACAGCGTAAGTAAGTAATGCATTGCATTCGTGGTTGTAGCTTACGATTCCACAAATTAAAGTCCAATACCCATCTATCTCCTAAGAAAATATAAATGCTGAATAAATGAATTCTAATGAAGTATTGAGCAAAATAACTTTGTTAAATTATAACATTTACCTTTTTCTTTAGGAACGATTGTGATTTCTTCTGACAGCGCTATGACTAGTTCTACAACAAATAAGTTTATATTTAAGTTTCTTATATCGATGGAACTGAGAATCACGAATGGTAAAATGTTATCCGGTCTAAGTTTCTTACTGTATTATTGAGCGTTTCCAGCTGCGGAATTGTTATTAGAAACAGCATGAATTTGAAGTAACAGTAAGACACCTAGTTGAGCTCATCGCTATCAAAATATTCATCATCACACAAATTATTGATTTTCATATCAGTATTAAACTAATAATAATCAGTAAAATCCTTTTTAGAACTATCGACATAGACGATAGGTTTGAAGAGAGCAAGGGGAAATATGTAAAAAGCTTTTCTTTATTGAGTGGGTGGGTGAGAATAAAAAAATCTGAGATGCAGGTACATCTAGCTGACGAGTCCCAAATAGGACGTAACGCGCATCAAACTTGATTCCACTGCTAGTCACTATCCATCTTTGCTTACAATGCTTATGAATTAAGGCTATATCGATGCAATACGCACAGTGTGCACATATGCCAATTAGAGACTGACCAGTTGCAGTCCTAACACATCGATGGGAAGATTCAAACAAACAATACTAAATGAATTTAAAACACAGTCTGTTTAATGTTATTTATAGTTCTTCTTATCTTCCGATTATCAAATCTGAGTACTAAATCTTCTTGATCAAAACTGTGATGGTGGAGACTTTTAGGGTTCTCTGCAGAATGTGGACTATACAGGTCCACTTTCAACATCAGTGGATATTTGAGGTTGATTAGACCTTATTATGAATGTGAAAAATACCTTTTTGGAAATGTGATTAAGGGGATTAAAGTGTAACGTAACATTTAGACTCTATAATTCAATTCTTAAAATGAAAGCATATTTGAAAAAAAAATACAAACGGGACTTTCAACTTGAACACCAACAGAAAAACGCTTGAATGCCAAAGCCCCCAAATGCCCTGGTACGGCTGAAAGTGGGGAGAGTACGCTCACCCTCTCGAAATGCTCTCACATGACCACGTGCTTACAACCAATGCCAAAGGAGTCCCCTACTCATTGCCTTCTCGTGGCGGGGGTGTTGTTTACAAAATTGAGTGGACGAAAAGCGAATGTCCTGCGCTTTAACCGGGTTGGTGGACACTGCGCATCCACCTAGGGGAGTTAGAAAACCCTGATTCCAAACCAGTGATGCACATGGGCTCTATTATCCTGAGAGAACAATGTCATATGAATCAGTCTTTGGTCACCGGATACCATGAGACTGCATCTCCTGACGTTGTGTCACTGCCTTGTGGATCAGACCCTTAGGTCAAAAGTTCCGAGTGTGGTCCCCTAAGAAAACTACCTGCTTCAGTTTTGGCACCCGGTCAGTATTACAGCCCTCATACAGATCAAATGAGATTTGTGTGGCGCATATATATCTGGTGCTTCTTTGTACCAATATTTATGAGTTTAAATAAACAAATAAATGACAAAATTTGTGCTAAGTTTTTCTAAAGATCTGTGTGACACAAGATGCTGTCTGAATTTTTCACATGCATGTGTTATCTCTAAACTCACTTAGACTATCAGGAAAAAAAACTAGTCTATGGATTGTATCCAATACAGTACTAAAGCCCTAAATAGTGGGATAAGACTGTGACCACTGAAGTTAAATCATATCGAGAACTCTATATGTATCATCATTCTCAATGGATAATAGATAAGGAATATCATGAGTTAACTGAAGTTAGAAACATGAATTACTGAAGACCAACTCAGTGATAATAAAGGAGATATATTCACCGTGAAGCTTGAAGCTTTTGTGTACTCCTCTGTCTGAGGGACTCAAACCCAGGGCCTTCAGTCTCATACTCTAACGCTTAACCTCTCAGCCATTGAGTCGGTATCCAAAGGTGTTAATATTCAACCACAGCCATTACACGAAATTAATTGACCATTTTCCATTGTGTTCGGTAGGTAACTGCCTCACACTCGATAATGATTAACACCACTGATCATAGCTTCCAAGTTTTCACTGGTGATCTAAGATTGATCAATTCATGATATCAATCAAAACTCATCAATCTCCACAATCCCATACTGTAGACTGATAAAATGCCTAATGAAATGTAAGAAACTAATAAAATTCTCTACTTTCTAAGTTAATCTATCAGAAAGTACTAATCAATTGTTGATCTAAATGCTTTCAAAAGAATTTTCAGTATATTTAATGCGAAATTTTATATGAAGAATTGAATAATTACTAAAACAAAATCTAGAAAATTGTTCTGAAATAAGGTATACTACTTAAAGTATTATAAGTAACGTAATTAATGACTAAAATTGTTCATTATTTAAACACATAAACATTGGTTCAAGGAAGCATCAAATAGATATACGCCTCATAAATCATTCGATTTGTGTGAGGGCTGGAATACTGTCTAGGTGCCCAAACTGAAACAGGTGGTTTTCTTAGGGGGCCATACCCCATAGCCTTTGACCTGAAGGTCTAATCCATAAGGCAGTGGAGCAACGTGAGGAGATGAAGTCTTATAGCAGCAGGTGACCAATAATTGATTCATACGCCGTTTGTTACCTTACGATCCTGGAGCCCATGTGCACCATTGGTTTGGAATGAGGGTTTTCCAACTCCCCTAGAAGGACTTTTCGTGTCTACCAACCCGGTTAAAGCGTCGGACATTCGCTTTTCGTTCTCACAATTTCGCCAACTGTACCCCTGTGGCGAGAAGTCAGTGAGTAGGACTTCCCTGGGATTGGTTGTATGCATGTGGTCATGTGAGAGCATTTCGCGAGGGACGGCTGGCTCTTCCCACTCTCTGCTATACCAGGGCATTTGGGGGCAAAAATTAAACATAACAGCAATGTTAACAAATGCCACTTATTTTCCAATTGATATAACTTTAATACGCTAACACCAGTTATCAAAACTCCAGCTTTTCTATCGTTAAACCTCAAACAATTCCCACTGGTAAGATTCATTGTCAAAGATCAAACAAGAAAGCAATAAAACAGTCAGTATTTAAAAATTAACAAGTCAACAAGGAATAGTGTATTCTGAAGTTAAAAATTTTAGGTTGAACTCAGTAGCGAATTTAGCCACGAAAAACAAACAAACAAACATAGATTTAAAATTAAAATAGAAAATGATGAGAACAAATAGTTTTTGAGGGATCCTTCTGTTATGTCCCAATAAGAGTAATGAA